CCCCCCCCCCAAAATAGTCTTTACAGCCTTGCATGATGATCTATCAACTCCCATGACCGCCCAAAACCCCGCCCTTGTGCCTCGATTAAATGGTTCGCTATGCTCGCACGAGATGTGAATGAAACGACAAAGATATAAAAACAGAAGGGAGCATTTGGAGAAGATATAGCAGAAACGACACCGTCCCCTGCCGTCTAGTCGTCGACCACCTTTGACAACTACGACCGAACGACGGGGATGAGCCTGGTCATCAACGGACCCTTCTCCCAGGTCAAGAAGTTGCGCTGTATAATCCAGTCGTTGCTCTCGGGGCACATTTCTAGATCGTAATGCCAGAGGGTCTTGGCGAGGAGGAGGCGTAGTTCGAGCCAGGCGAGGCTTGTGGGTTGCGTTAGTCTTGGGGGGGATGTAAATGGGAGGGTGCAAAAAAAAAAAAATATATATATATATATATATAAAGAACAAGTATCACTTACTTCTTTCCAACACAATTCCTTGGTCCGTACAGAAAAGGCTCGTGCACTTCCTTCTTGTCGCCGGCAAACTCGGGAGCATCGGGGTACAGCCACCGCTCGGGGATAAACTCGAGCGGCCGAGACCAGTTGGCGGAATGGCGGTAGGCGACGTTGTAGTCTAAGGTCACGAATGTCTATGGGCGCGGGGCGTGGGTCAGCAATGGGGGACGAGCCACGGGGGACGGTCGTGTCGGTGCAGAGTTACAAAAGAGTACAAAGGAGATGAAGAAGAGAAAGAAAAAGAAAAAGAACGAGGTACAGAAAGTACTCTCGGAAAGTACTCTCTCTGTACAGAATAGAACTCACCCCTCCAGGGACGTAATCCCCGCAAATCTCAGCGCCACCAGGTGGTACAATGCGCGCCATGCCCGAACCACCGGGAACGTAGAGCCGCAACCCTTCCTGCAGGACGGCGTTGAGGTACTCGAGGCCGGCCAGGCCGGACAAGGTGATGTCCTCGCTCCGGGGGAAGGCGGCGCGGATCTCGGCGACGAGGCGCTGGTAGACGAGCGGCGTGCGCATGAGGTAGTAGCACACGCCCGAGGCGACGGTGGCGGTGGTCTCGGTGCCGGCGATCATGAGCATGGCGGCGTTGGCGTGCATCTCGGGGCGGCTGAGGCCCTTCTCGTCGGCGGCGTGGCGGAGGACGAAGGACCAGATGTCTTTCTTCTTTTGCTTCCCGTCGGCATGGTGCCCCTGCTGCTGTCCTTGCTGTCCTTGTCCTTGTCCTTGTTCGTCCTTGTGGTCCTTGTGGTCCTTGTCGTCGTTGTCGTCGTTGTCGTCGTCCCCAGCCCATCTCGCTTCCGATTGCGCGGCGGCGACGCGACGGTCGACGAGGTCAGCAGCAAAACGCATGTGCTCCCGGGCCTTCTTCTGCAAAGGCCCCGCGGTCAGGGCATTCAGGAGGGGCCCGAGGACGGGGATGTCGGAGAGGACGGCGCGCCAGACGATGAACTTGAGGCCGAAGAAGATGAGGCGCACCCAGGGGATGTAGTCGCCCGTCTCGAGGAGGCGGAGGGGCTCGCCGAAGGTGAGGTCGGCCATGATGTCGAAGGTGCAAAAGTTGAAGAGGTCGACGAGGTTGATGGCGCCGTTGCCGCCGCGGGTGTCGCGGACGCTCAGGTCGGCCATCTTGCGGACCATCTGGTCGGCGTAGCGGACGAACAAGGGTTCCTGGGCTTGCAGGGCCGTGTTGGTGAAGGCCTTGTTGAAGAGGCGGCGCATGCGGGCGTAGGCTTCCGGGGGCGCCGCCGATAGGCTGTCGTTGGAGAGGGAATCGCCGCCGAAAAAGCGGGTGTCTTTGGGGAACTCGTTCTTGAGCAGACGCCCGAATATGTCCTTCCATGCCGTTGCTAGATGGCGGGGCCATAAGTATGAATGATGAGCTGGCGAGGGGGGTGGGGGGAGAGGAAAAGGGCAGCAAAGAGCTGAATGGGTCGATCATCTTCATCCTGCTTTACCTTGCATATAAGACAGCTCGTTAGGGGAAACCCGGATGGTCCCCGGATATCTCTCATGGAACTCGACCGCCTTCCTGGGATATGTGCCCATGAGGAGATGGATCGCCTTGGGCAAACCGCTGGCGCGCCATAGTAAGGGACCAGGGTACTTGCGTAAGGGGTGGAAGAATAAGTTGTAGACGACCTGGGCAAGGGACTAATATCAAGGAAGAATTAGCTGCGGCTCTGAAGAAAGGGAAAGGATGAATCGACTTACACTTAGCCCAAGGAGACCGAATATGAGTAAAACGGAGCTGGCGGCGATAATAGCCATTGCTTCTAGCTGGTGTCCACTGTAGGCCTATGACGCTACATAAGATCGACCGCGACGAGGGAGCCAAACACGCGCGCAAATCACCAAGAAGGAGAAGGACCAAGTACGGGATAGGATAAGATCCGGAATAAACGTTAAGCTTGAAGGTTGATCGAACGTCGGGTGACTGTCAAGGAAACAAAAAAAAAAAAAAAAAAAGATAAAAAGATAAAAAAAAAAAAGGAAGAATGAAGGATTCCCGCTAACTATGAGGCGCGAACGAGAGGCAAAGAGGATAACAAACCGCAACCCCCCTTCCCACAAGCCGTTCTACCCACTACTTTATTAGTGTTCCCCATGAAGACGAGTGAGCGCGCTTGGTCGGTTGATGGGGCCCGACGGATGGCACGGAGCTAGAAGGGTTCCAGGTTAGATAAACGGGCAGAAGAAGCGAAAGGGAGGGAAATGTTGGTGGTCTTAGTCGCAAAGTAGACTAGGACGGGGAACCATGGTAACGGAACCTCCCGGGCCAACTGATGGTGTGAAGTGGCGGATTCCATGGTTTTACTCTGGATGTACGAATTCTTTTCCGTTTGTAGGAATTCTACACATCGTAGATTGATTGCTTTTTCTTTTATTATTATTAATCGCCCCATTTTCTTTCTGTCCCTTTCTTTCCCCCCCTTTTTTTTTGTTTGTTCCTTTTCTCCTTTCGTTTCATTCTTTCTACCCTTTGGTCACATCTTAGTGGTCCGGATGGTTCCAGGATCCTGCCATCTGAAAGGCCAGAAGAACGGTGCCTCTTTGACGGAACAAGCCAGGTACCAGACAAGCCACCAAAACCCCCTTTCTGGCTGGTGCAGAATTCGGAGAGCCCGTCATGGTGTGTCGAATAAGGTACGATGTATGACCGATGATGTCGGTAGCCAAGCCCATGGTTAAAAGGATACTACTCGGTCGATGTTGGTAAGGACAAGAAATGGACCAACAACGCCAAGGCTATACCAGAAACGGTTCTCGAGGTTGAATGTACGAGGAAAATAACCTACGAATAAATACCTATCTCGTTACGCATCGGAAGTCCAACGTCTCATTCCCCTCGCAGCCCGGAGTGTCATCTTGTTCTTCGTCCCCTTCTTCCCACCCTTTCCCACGCGTCCTGCACGTGTTAGGACTAGCGGCACACTGTCCTGGAGTGTCGATCATGCATTAGAAGAGTTCCATGGTGGAAACGTGGTTGGGGGGTTGCATGTGCGCATGAGAAAGAATGAAAATATATCATCTCCCAGTCTTCCTATTTCGCGGGAGACTGTGGTCCCCAGGGTCCAATACTCATGCGCTGGGTAATTCTCGAGACGCATTACGTGTCTTCCAACGGAGTTTTCCACTGTCGCTATGCGTCTTTGATCTTGCTGCGTCTCGGATCCCTAGGATCGGGACACAAGTCCGTTTGGAATAGCTGGAATGGGATGGCTTCTTATACGGAGTTGCATTGTTGGCGAACCGAAAGGACGTGCACGACTCCAGAACACGTGTACGAAGTAATTAGTTGTGCTTAATACTCCGTAAACGCCGTTGGAGACCTGGGGGTGGGGCAAGTAAGACGTTTAATCCGACAAGGGAGAGCGGAGAAGAGGGGTAATTATTGCAGTAATAAGAGCGGTTTAACCTGTTGTCCTGGAGTGCTTAATATCCAAGTATGGATATAGGTACCGGTAACTACCTTACTGTGTACCTATTTTTCTTACCCCGCTTACATGCACGACTTCCATGGGTTTTCTGCGAGGGTTTATATGCGAGATTCTGAGGCGATGGGCGGAGTACCTTATATACGAGTAGACAGCAGAGGAATGTCACAGCACAACCTCACATTCGTACCGAATAAGGTATATACCGTAGGTAGGTACCTAAGGTACAGACATGTATACAACGTACTATCGTGTAGGTAGTGGAGAAAACAGATTTGCATCGTCTACACATGTACCAACAATCCAACGGGGTGGGCCTTTTTTTGGTTCTTCACCGAAGGCATCTATCTACCACCGAAACATCCAAAGGAATTCTAACCATTTTATACTCAAGACAGAGTCGTAATCATATTAGGTACAGTGACATCATTATCTCCCACAGGTAGTACTCCGTATGGGACCATGAGAGTGAATGAGGCGTGATCATTTGTCCCCGCGGTCATTCCGAATCACCACGAACCACTACCACTGAACTTTTACCCTTATTATTAGACAGTTGGCACAGCCACTTCCATCAAAGTTCGCATACAGTCGGGCTTCTGCTGTCCCTCTGGCAACTCCCACCTGCGTTGTATCTGTCTGGTATTCTACCTCGAGGACCTAAAACGAAGCCCACCATCCACCCCGTCGCAATCGTTCCAGGACTACCGACTCCCACTTTCAGTATAACTACCAACAACAACCTCCTGGTTGCCCACCTTAGCCCCATTCGACCCCCACATCACTCCCTCTTCCAAACATGACATCCAGTGTTCTCATCGTCGGCGCGACAAGAGGCCTCGGTGCCTCCTTGGTCAAGCAATATGCCGCCAATCCGGACCATCCATCCGTTTCCGGTACCACCCGGGCCTCCACTGCCCCAGCATCGGATCAACTCCCCGAGAATGTCAAATGGCTCACCGGCATTGACCTAATGAATCCAACAGTCGGCCGGGACTTGACCGCCCAGCTTGATGCCTCCCAACCGTTGTCTACAGTGGTAAGTGGGATGAGAAATTCAAACTTCCAGGTGCCCTCCATCACCCATGAACACTACCACCTTTATCAATGCGACCAATATACCACCCACTTTATGCTTGCACCAACAGACCAATAAACATGCCGTGTTACCACTTCGATTAGACACGAAGGGGCCCCGATGAGCTGACACTTATCCTCTTTTTTCCCCTCTGTTCTCCCCACCCCGCTCAGATCATCTCGGCAGGTCACTTCACCACCGAGGACCTTTCGTCCGAGAAGGGCCCCAACTGGGCCGAGGAACAGCGCATGTACACCACCAGTTCCATCGCCCCCGTCTTCATCGTTCATGCCCTCCTCGATGCCGGCCTGCTGCGCGAGGGCTCCAAGATCATCCTCGTGTCGTCCGAGGCTGGCAGCATCGCCCTACGCCATGAGAAGGAAGGCGGAGGGAACTACGCCCATCACGCCAGCAAGGCCGCTCTCAACATGGTCGGCCGCCTGCTGAGTCTCGACCTCCGCGATCGGGGCGTCATCGTCAGCATTGTGCATCCCGGGTTCATGCGCACTGATATGACTGCCGGTGTTGGGTTCGATCAATATTGGGATGCCGGTGGTGGTAAAGTCCTACCTTCTCCGTTCTCCCACCCCCTCCCCCCTTTTTTCTTCTTATTCTTCTCCTCTTAGCTAACCGTAAATACTTCACTTCTACAGCCGTCACTCCCGAAGAAGCTGCCAAAAGCCTGGTAGATTGGACCGAGAAACTCGACATGTCCAAGACCGGAGAGTACTGGGCGCCTCGGGGACCGGGTCCGTTTCCTCGTTCTTATCACCCATACCCCTCTCCCGTTCACGACGCCAGAGACGATGTGCTGACCTGAACGTCTTGTCGCAGGTGATATTGGCACGGCTGATGTCGTACTTGGCACCGATCTCCCGACCCCGCTCCCTTTGCCTTGGTGAGTGTCTGTCTGGCCGGATGGACACCGCCATCCGAACGATACTTGCCAAATCTGGTGAACCCACTGGCCCTGTCTTGGGTGCCCACCACTCTCCTGGGGCTCTCTCCTGGGTCTCTCCTGGGTGAGTATCAGGATGGGAGGCATTTCCGCTACGCTACCCGGAACTCATCAGGTTTCTCAAAAGCGAGCGGGTCTAGCCTCGTTATTCAATGGCGGCCTTGAAAGCGAGAAAGGCTCTAAAGCTTCACAAAACGTGAAGAGGGGTTACCCGGTCGGCGTACTCGCGGAGCAAACCGCCTCCCGATCCCGTTGCGACTTAGTCGACGTGTCAGATTTACCTAACTCTATCCCTGTGTCATTTGACAATGTATCGAGGTTCGAACCACGGCAATACATCAGGGTAGGATTCTGCTCCTCTTCGAGCCATCCATGCATGCGTGGGGCAAACCGGGAGGCAGGTGTCGTCCGAGTTATCAACTGCCTCTGTTGCGGGGATGTCTATCGTCTACCCCCCTCTGCTTACTTCCATCTCGTTTGAGCATCATAACTATGCAGCGACCTTGACGGCTACTTGTGGTTAAGACCCGCCTCCCCCTTGGGCCTTGGGCAATGACACAATCAACTTTCCAGCGAAACCCAGGTCATATCTGCTAACCGTGGGCGATTCGACATTACTCGTCACGTACGGATCTTGCCATATGATTATAGGGAGTTCAAGATCCCAGTTAGCCTCCTTCCATGTGTGTCCATCTATATCGATGCTTCCAAACTCTTCTGTTCCTATCAGTCTGAATCTCACATCTTACCCGACATCTGAGCCAGTCTTATCCAGTCTAACGATGATCCACGTCAAGATCCAGGTACGGACCAAGCAGGAGAAAAGAGCACATAAAATATGATATATTCAGATGAACAGCCGGGACAAGGACTTACGGAGCCAGGATAGGCATGGCATTGAGAGAGGAGATCAAAGCATGTCATGACGAGCCATTGGACCATTCAAGTCCAAGACACATGAAAAGAAGGGCGGGAGAAAGTGTCCGGATTGCTCTGTAACACTCGAAGGAGGAATGCTGGGTCTCTGCCGCGACTCAACGAGAGACATACGCAGGACGAGATGCTGGGTATGTCGGTATGCCATTAGGAACCTTTTGTCTGCAAGGACGACGACATCACCCAGCACGATGTGCCGATTCCCATGGTATATTACCGACGGGCGGGAGAAGAAGTCACAGAAAATTATAATATTCGAGACACGAGGCTGCAAAGTCGGAATTTCAAAGTACGTTGCGATGACAAACTTGGTGGTTGTGTCACTTGCCGCCTCGGCCGCTGGTTTGTCTTCCCGTCCGGACCCATTTCCTGCGTCCTCCTTCCCTGCGAGAGATAGGGTGCCATTAACTCCGGCTTGGCTGTTTTGTATGTACAGATAAGTGCGTTGAGACCTCGGGAAAAACGATATTGATTATGTGGGCCGAAGAACGCGACGATCCTATGGAGGCACGAAGCTCAGTCATATCATTGGCTTTCTGGTCACGACATTGCCTTAAAGGAGGGCTCCTTGCTGGCAGCCTTTCTCTTGAACCGAAGGGATGGCATACATAATGCGTTGAATGACGGGGTGACCACACAAGTCGTGAGCGGCACGAAGAAAAGGAAAGGGGACCAAAACGACCGAGGCTTGAAGGATTGACGGAGCTCATTGACTTCCGTCGGCGGAAGCGGACGAATACCCAACAACACAACGACACTGCGATGTGCACAGTCTTCCGGCTGCTCCGTCTGGTGAAGTGAATGAGCTCTCGGGGGATAATGTGGATCGGCACGCGCTCCTCCTTACCAGGTGTGGTGGTTCCTGATGAACAGCAATGTTGCCGCAAATGGCAGGCTTTCCGGCCGCCTGATGTCCTATTTTGGGTGGGATGGGATGGATAGAGGGAAAGTCAGGGCTGAATAATACCTTGCCTTGGTTATTTCATGATTTGGTCGAGGTGGGTTGTGATTCATTTGCTCCCGTATTCAGCTGGGTCAGGTTGACCTCTGAACCAGAGAAGCCGACTGCTTCGAGAGTTTTGACCTACTCAAGTCTGAGCAGCTTTGAATGAAATGTACAAAAAAAAAAAAATTGCAATAAACTGGGTGGTGGATGATTGCCTTTCGGGTTAAGACCGAGTTCGTTACGAAGTAATTATTCGCTAAACCCAACTCGTGATCATCCCCGGGTCGCTGTTTGGCGGAAAGGAGAATAAAACGGGGAAAAGGGGGGGGACGGACGGATGGACATGTGCACCAAGCCGGCAAGGAACCTGGGGCATGACCCCACAGTTACAGGGACTTTGACGAGGGGTCTTCCACTGCGGTTACGTATGTACCTCGTACTGTAACAGATCACTGAACATTGTACGTCCTGTCGTTAGGTAATTCTAGAGTATTTCATTCGGGATCCAGTCATACGAAGGACGAATAGCGGTGGCGAGGACCGTATCCAGCTTACTTACAATCGTCCGCTTGATGATTTCTATCGAACCTCATGACGATGGGCATTGCCTCTTTTCCCCCTTCATTTTCATACGCGGCGTGGCTACTCGGCTACCTATCCGTGGCGGAACTCTCTTGGAAGTTGGCGGTGTGTCTACGCGTGTGTTCTGTCTGGTCTGTGTGTGGAACTTATTGGCCATGGATGTACCCAAGCATTGACCACGAGGAGCCCTAGACCGGAGGCCCCCACACCCTTTCCCCTCTCTCAGCGGAGCTCCTCAGTGCGAGCGAGGCTCCATGCGGATGTAAATGCTGGGCTAAATCAATTCGGTGGGCTAGTAATAATTTAGAGCCCGACTCATTTCTTCAACGGTTCTGCCTTCTCACGTCGTCCTGTTCGTCCCGTACCCCTTTCTCCCCTGGACACCCGAACGCTCCCCACGTCCCAACAACTCCTAAATCCGCCATTCTCAACGCGACAACTCGGCCTTTCCCTGACCAAAGCTTCCAAAATCAACCTTACAGCCTTATTATTCTTAGGAGGCACAGGACACTGCTACCCGGCCGTTGTCGACTCCCCTATCCTCAGTTGCACCGACCCCGCCCACCTAGCGATTCCACACCCTTCTACCTTAAGGTACGGATACTATTTTGCAAGCTATCCGACGCTTCGCGGCGCCCTTTCCTCACTGGCTACATAGGACAACGTCAAGAAGAACCCTAGGAACGACTTCTCTGACGAGGGTCGCTGCTACCAGTAGTCTCTCTGTCGTCGGCACCTTGGGCTTGCCGATCACGGACAGTGGTGGTCTGCCTACTAGACAACAGCGCCCGACGAGGACGTTCGCTTCTCTCCTTTCCATCTGATCACTTGGTGTTCTTCCAGTCGACCCACGGATCGATTCCTTCGACTTCTCGGCGTCCTTTTCACCCCTCTTGCGCCTTTTCCGCTCCCGTTCGCCTCCGACTCAAACCAACGGTCATTCGACCACATTCCCTCTTCCATTGAATACACATATACGTTATTCGCATAATTGCTCAGACTCGATTCTCAACTCGATAGCCTAGCCACACCCGAGCGCCCAGCCTTCCTCCTACACAATTCGGACCCCGAGAACCCGACCACACTTCGCAGTCCCATCTTTCTAGTATCATCCGACTCCTCTGCCAAGCAGTCCGGAAGGGAAGAGAATTCAGTACACGTCACAAGCGGAAGAGAATAGAAGATCGAGCAAAGACGAGCTCGCAATAGTAAGAAGATAAGTGTGCGTGCAACGCGACACCGACAACTTCCCGAGTATCGATTCGGAAGTCGCATCGGCAACATTTGTGCTCCAAGACCCGACGAGAGACCCTTCCTGCACCTTTTTGCCTTGCTGTCTTGGCGCGTCAGTCCCTTACCCACCAAATTCCCGTTGATTGGATTGAGCCAGCTGGCCTGTATTAACGCCAGGTCTTCCCCGTGGTCGCTCGCACCTTGGGTTGTTAGCGAGCCTCAAGAGCAGTGACAACCCCATCGCCTACCTACGCGGGTCAGGGAACATCTGTCTTTTTGCCACTTTGTGGCAGAGTTCAAGCCTTCAAAAACACTTTCTCCACCACCGACATCCTACACGCCCACCGAAAAAAAGGCACTGCTTGCATTCCTGACAGGCGCATTAGCCAGAGCATTCACACCCAACCCATTCAGAACTGGTCCTTGTCCTTCCAGGATAGAACGAATTGGGGACATTCACCTAAATCTTCGAACTATCGTCATATACCAAGGCCAAGGCCAAGGTCTCGTCCTATCCCGTCACACTCACACGATCATTCTTCTATTATTACAGGCCAAAAGTTTCATTGGTAGCGCAATATGTCGTCTACGCAGTCAGGTGAGCTATTCATTAACTTTTGCCCTTTTTTATTTTATTTTAATTTTTATATTCCCCGTCTGTCCTCCATGAATCACTTCCCTGTCTTTATCTTTTCGTTTCTTTTTTGATTTTGCCCAAATCCGTCCTGGACCCCTTTCTCCTTAAAAAGTCGCCCGCTTTCCACTTCCTCCCTTGCTCCCTGCCTGATAAACACCAAGAATTCCCGTCTTCAGCACACACCCTTGTTTGTTCCTTGCCCCTTTGGCTCCTCCACAATCCTGTGGTTCTCCCCCTATCACAGCCCACCAAAACAATTCGATCAATACCCAGCTTTCATTTCCAGTTCTTCCCTCCCCTCCCCCCGGTCCACTCTACGTCAAGCCTGCCGTGTCAAGTTAGTGAGCCTGTTTCATCTTCGCTCTCTATATCGTCATTTGCATGCATCCAACCGCGAAGGACCTGGCGCTAACCATTTCCCTGCGCAATACAGGCCCCGACACCGGACGTTCTGCCGGGTTGACTCTCAATCTTTCATCCAATAACCCATTTCGTAACCGTGCCGCTTCGCCCTCTAGCCCTTTTAATACGGCTACCTCACCCACGGCCGTTTCGCCATTTGACGACCCCCTCCCTCCTCCCCGCCCAGTCTCTCGAAATCCCTTCCTTGAACCGAATGTCTCGTCCAGCCAGCCAAACTTGATTGACATCAGCAATAGCACCATGGCGACGAAGTTTGATTCAAAGGCCTCTCCTACTGCGGAAGAGTTATTTGTACGTTGTTCTTGTTCCCCCCAAATTCTTTTTTTTGGGGGGGTGGGGGGTTTCTTTTTTTGCTCTTTCCGTTTCTTGTCACGACGCATGTGCATCTAAGCGTCATCATACCCCTTGCCTGCGCTTTTACTTGTTTAATTTTATTTTACCCCGCATTCCACGCAGTCGCACCTGGCATGCACTCGGAATCTGGAAATCGTTCCGCCACATTCATCTTCTATCCAGCTCCCAACCTGGGCCGGTGTGTGACTAGCTAACCATAGTATTCTCCAGGATACCCTGACTCTCGAGGACCCGAAACCAGCCCGTGGCAATCCCGCTCCTCTTCCTCCGTCGAACCGGCCACCTCCCCCTCCCAATCGCGAAAACAAGCCTCCCGTCCTTCGTGGCCCCCATCCCGCCCATAGCCCCCCGCGCTCCCGAGAAGAGGCTCTAAGGAGGAAGATGGAAGGCAACAACGGACGGCGACCTCGGGTGGTTTCTAACTCGCGCTCACCGCAGCGGAGAGCCGAGAGACGTCCGCGCCGCAATTCCGAATCGTCTGTGTTGGACATCGAGAAGCCGCTTACCGAAGAAGAGAAGAAGGCACGCGAGGCCCGACGGCGAGAGCGCGAGCGCCGTCACCGTGAGAACAAAGAGAAGAAGCCGAATCGTCGATTGGATATCATTGACCAGCTTGATCATACCAGTCTGTTCGGATCTGGATGTGCGTAGAACCCTCGGAAACCCCATGCTCGCTTTTTTTTTTCATGACATGGACGCGCTGACATGCTGATTTTTTTGCACAGTCCATCACGACGGCCCCTTCGACGCCGTCAACCCGCATCGCAATCGCAAGGGCAGCCGCCGTGCGCCTATGCAGGCCTTCCCCAAGGATTCCCTCAACATGTCGCTCGGTGGATCGGGTCCCCTTAATAAGACGGCCGACCATTCCACTTTCATGGGAATGGCGAACGACGAAGCCTTCAAGGAGTATGCGGGTGGCGCGAAGAACGGTCTCGGCTACACCAGCAAGGAGGCACCCGTGTTCGACCCGCGCATGCGCACCGCTATGCACGGAGAGGAATCGCTGGGTCTAGGCACGTCGACATTCTTGGAGGGAACGCCGGCTCCTCGCACGGCCATCCAGAAGCAGGTTGCCGAGCAAGCTGAACAGATGGCCAGCGAAGGGCTGCAGCGCAAGAAGTCGCTGGCCCAGCGCATCCGCAACATCAACAGGCCGCAGCGCGATGTTGGCCCTTCGGGCCGCCTGACGAACCCCGAAGGTGTCTACGCGCGCACGTCACCCGACTTTGTGCCTTCGTCGACGAGTACCCCGCAATACTCAACCGAGCGCAACCCTTTCTTCAACGAGGACCACAAGGAACCCGAGAGCCACATGCTTCATCGTGCCCACACGGGGACCATGTCGCCCACCAGCCCGCCGCCGCGACCCGCTTCCCAGCAGGGCGTTCCGCTTGAGCGAAGGGTGACGAGTGATGCCACCTCGCCGACCGAGGACGGCTCAGGGCGGCAATCGGGCGGGTTCTTGTCACGCGTCAAGAGCTTGAAGGGTGGACGAAGGAACCGCCAGTCTTCCGACAACCTGGCACCTGGCACCGCCGTTTAGAGAACTAGGAACACGAAAGGAAGTGAAGGGGCGAAGCACCGATCAAGTACGTCCCGGTTGAGAGGAATCCAGGGAAAGAAGCAGCGGACTTGGGACACGGGCGGGAAGCTGCGTTTGGGTCTGTTCCGCTAAACCCACGACCCGGACAACTCGAGAAGAAAGGGAAGGGGGAGGAAACGTGATGGCCGCGGCGCCCAGGTTTTGGTTGCTTTTCAGATCAACAGAAGGGGGAAGTGAGGACTTGAGTTTTTGACTTTCGGTTTTTCTGCTGGTTTCGTGTGATACCTCCCTTCGGGGATCATCAGTTCCTGTAAACAGTTTCTCCTATCCGGGATGACTGCGTCTTTTCCTAGGTATTTTCTCTTGCTTTATTCCCCTTACGGCCGTAGAGCGGTTCATGAAGGTAGACTAATAATTACGCCGTCCTACGAATTTCTACGAAGTGCTCCATACATTCTACGAAATAATTAATAGCTTGGTAGTTGAATTCGAACGTCGCCTTTGAGTGCCGAGATGGGATAATCATCGCGCACCAAGGGAGTCGAGCTGGTGTTGCTTTTCTTGGAAAGGTACCTCCGTGTGTTGACACAAAACGCTCGGTAATGTGACGTCACCTGTTCTGCTCGTCTCGTCGACGTAGCAGGAGGTAATTATTCGTATGACGCCCGCGTAATGGATATCAGACATTACCTAATTGTTCCATCACGTGACGTCGCGCCACTGCCTGGCAGTTAATTACTGGGTGCAGGACAAGCCACCAACGTCTCTCGGGATGTGTTTGACGCGAATCGTCGCGTCCAACAGAACCAAAGAACCTACTACCACATTGTTAACCATGTCAAACGTGCGACGTCCAGGCTAGAACGGTATCTGGTAGATTCTGCCTACTGCCAAGGATGTTCCACAGGAAGGGCATATGAACATTGCACGCCGAAATGAATGAAGGTGACAACAGACCGCTTGGCGACATCCCTCCGCCTCCCTCATCTGGTTCGAGCACGGGGTGGCCAATCGAACCTGTATCAGCGGCTATCCTGCATTCGCGAGACATCAAGCGTCGAGACGCACTTCTGCGGCGCGGACCCGTGCGGACGGGGTGTAACGAGGTCGATGAGTACGTTCTACTTGGCGGCTTCGAGCGCGGGAGCGTGGTGGGGATTACTGCGGAAGGTGAAGCGTTTGGGATGCGGGTAAGTCGGGGATGCTGTTTTTCAGCTTGATATTACTCTCGCGTTCTCTTGTTGATTGGCCCTTTTCCTCTCCGCGTTCTATCCTCCTCGACAATCCATGCATTGGTCCTCGCCTGACCCGGTACAAAAACAAATGGTAGCTTGCGTTCCAGGCTCTAGCGAAGGAGCTGGTGAAAGGCACGTCGACTGCTATGGTCGTCACAAACCAACCGCCTGCGACTCTACTCCCCATGCTTCGAGATGCCGTCAGGGCAGAGCTTGTCGAGGATACTACTGCTGAGCAAGAGGCCCTCCGAAGAAAGCTGAGGGGCTGCCTAGAACGGGTATCCGTGTCTCGAGTGTTTGATTTGGAGGGGTTATGGGAGGTATTGGGCGATTTGGACAAGCCTTGCGAGGAGCAGGAGCCTGTCCCTCGACGGTCGCGGGATGAAACCACTCCTGATGTTCATGCGGAGGGAGGGCTGACGGTGCTTCCGGGGACGGAGCAGCAAGGAGGAGGGAATACAGATCTCGCAGAATCTAAAATCAGGAACGCAGTAATTGCAGACAGCGAAGACGAGGACGAGGACGAAGCCGAGGATCAAGACGAGAATGAAGAGATTTCTCCCTCGTCACCTTCCCGTTCCCCTCCCGCCATTGCAAGGCCTCCTCCTCCTCCTGCGGACCCGGCGCCGCCAGAGCCGGACCATGGCCCGGACGTCATCGTCATCACTCATTTCGCGACGCTGCTCACAGCGCTCTTCACCCGCCGCGAGAAAAAGGCGGCCCACACCTCCCTCCAGCTCCTCGCCTCGCACCTCCGTTACTTGACGCGCGGTGGCGCGTGTTCCCATCCGCTCGTTCTCATCGTCAACACGACCACGTCCCCGGCGTCGCGGGCTTTGGAGAGGGGAACGCCGCTTCATAACCGGGGACCGTCATCTTTGTCGTCATCGTCGTCGTTGTTGAACCGCCCCCTCGATGCTACGCTGCAGTCCGTCTTCCGTCCTGCCACGTCGAAGCGCAGGAACAAGCCCGGCTTCGGACTGGTGTTTACGCAGTTGCTGGATTTGCATTTGCTGTGTACCCGTGTACCGCGCGAACGGGAGGATGCGGAGAGGCTTTATGCGCCCTTGGGCGAGCGCGAGGGCGAGCGCGAGGAGGGACGGGCGCAGGGGGAGGTGAGGTTTGTGTGGGTGGTAGAGGTGCTGCTTGACGAGATGGGAGTTTGGGAGAAGGGAGCCGCAGAGATGCCGAGGAGATCGAGGGAACAAAGATGGGGAGCTGTGGATGTTGTTGGCGGGCTGGTTGTGGACGCGTTTGCCGCCCCGTGAGCTGTTTCGTATATTCGGAATTAATTCTTGGCTTGATAAGGGAGTATGACCATGACCGTTGTTTAAGACGCCTGAAGGCCGAACATGGGGGCTGAAGGAAGACAATGACGCGAGACGTCGTCTGTGGTGACATTATAGAGCCGTGTCTTGGTAGGGGGTGGATGCTAAGGGACAGAGTTGTTTCCTGTTTTCCTCCTCCACTCCCCCAGCATGCCCAGTAAAGAACTCTCTAAGATACCCAAACAATTCCTTTCATCACTGTCTCGACATCAGTTTGTCTTTAGCGGACCATGGAGTAGGTCTATATAGATCTCGACTTTGTTGCGGAATGCGTGTGCCGCTGCTATAGGAGCAGCTTTCTGATTCCTCTAAATCCGCCGTTACGTGCAGAGCTATAGCCCGTGTATACCCTATACCGTTATACCTGATATAGAATATTAAAGTATCTTGTGCTAACTACTCTTATTCCTTTCTCTCTATATATACTCCCCTTTTCATCTATATCCTAAATTGCCCCTTTCCGTCCCTCTCTATTAGGTGCCCCTGCCTAGGAGGTAGAGGCCGGGTATATAACGGGTTCCTGTGTGGACGAGACCGGGCTCCTGTGTTAACGTGGCCACGGCTGCCCTAGGCCGATACCACTATACAGGGCCGTGGCCTAGGCTTAGGCGTAGATATCCGTTTACGATATCCGTTTAACTATACTAGCGTTAGCCTAGGAGTATATAGTGCTTATAAGGTACCCCCTCCTTAGTATAGGGAGGGCAGCGATTATTCTAATTCTTTAGGACTACCTATATTCGGGCTAGCCGTGACCACTACTTAATCTACGTGTATCCCCTTTTTAGACCCTCTCGCTATTACCTTCTTACTTCTTATAACTACCTATCTAATATAATAATCGCTCCACCTTTCTAAAGGGCATAAGGACTATTAAGGAGTATTAACAGGAAAAACAATATCTTCTTACAAGAATAATAAGACCTATAGCGTGGTTAGCCCCTCCGACCTTTTACTATATATCGATAATCCCTTAGACCTAGGCGCCCCTATAATATAGGCACGATATAATTAAGGAGTGCCTTAGACGGAGATAGATCTTAATCCCTACGCTTAGTCCCCTTAGCGCGTAGCACCCCCTATTACCCCTGCCCTATCCCGACTATCCTGCCTACCCTATCCTTATAAGGGTATCCCCCACGACTAGCTAACCGATATATAGGTTAGGGAACGGATTAAGTGGTTTAAGGCGTTAGAGGCGCGGAAGCATAAACTTAACCGACTTATCGCCCTTAAAGCCGCTAGGGCTAGTCCCCTAACTATAAACTATCCTAACCTTAACGGCCGTGCTATTATACGATAACGTATCGCGGAGCCCCGTTACTCTATTCTAGATACCTAGTCCTCTATCCCTTCTTCTTCTATTATTTAGGGCCACGTTAATACTAATCCCCCCCGGACTATTACTAGATCCAGGACTAATTCCTTATAGGCGAAGGTTAACTACGCGGTCCCTAAGTAAAACGGCGAGTTATAGATAAAATACCGGATATTCATCTAGGAGGTAAAGTAACGGTTTATAATCGACCCTAACGGCCTTCCTAATAACGCCTTAAAGAACTATTACGTTATAGCCTCCCTACCGAACTACCTTAAAGAAAGATAATAATCTTACCTCCGGCACGCCTACGATAATAACTCGTCCTAGGTTACCTAGGGGGCCCTAGAAACCTGGTTAGGTAAGCAGGTCGATAATTATAATACGCGTTTACTTAAGGTCGCCCTATAAATATAAACCAACGACTATTCGGACTAAAAGCCCGGCAAACCCTTTATAAAGTTTATCTAGCAGTAGGAAGCCCTAGAAGCGGAACTCTCTAATCGCCTGCCGGACTAATAGCGGATCTGGATAGTCCTTATAAGAGTCCTACCCCTGATCCGGGATTATATCTTATCCATATATAGAACCCCGAAAACCTACCTAGAATATAATAAGGAGTATAAAAGAGCTAAGCAATCAAAAATCAAGCTCCTAGTAGAGGGGTAGTAACCGAATACCCCCCGTACTAGCTATAGCTAAGGAACCCTCCTTAGAATAACGGCGACTTTAAACCCCTCTAGAACTACTAAGAATATAAGAGAACTATAGTATTAGGCTAGCCCTCCTTATACTCTAATTAAACTTATTATATACTTTAACTATAACTAAAAGGGTTATTATACTAGTACTTACCCCTCTCCTACTTATACTAATCTAAATAAACTACCTATTTCGCCGATACGCCTAATAGTAGGTCGCGTAGTAGGCGAGATAGCCTAGGAACTAACCTCGCCTTAAGCGGTGGCCGCTACTACTATACCGGTAAAAGCGCGTGTCTCCCTTTATTAAGGCAGATAATAGGTATAGACCCTGGCTCTCCTGGATAGGGGAGCCGATATTAACGTTTTAGACTAATCCCTTCTAGGTCCCGACTAGGTCCCCTCTAGACTACCCCTCTTTTTATCCTGGATCACGGAGGGATAAAAGAAATCCACCCTCGGCTTAGTTACTAGACTTATCTTCGCGACCGACCGATAGTAATAAAGAAAAGTATAACGCGTTAAATTTTACGTTATAAACCTAGACCCTAAAGGCTCTTGAATTATCCTAGGACGACCCTAGCTAGTAGCCGTTAACCCTATAGTCGATTAGTAAACTAGTACCTAGAATTACTCTTTAGAACGCTCTAACCTCTATATTATCTCGAGCCGATAAGAATTACGGAAAGCTATAAGGGAGGCCGTAATAGTTTTAACCCTATCCTTCTTTATACTAGTCTAATACATAGCTAGGGTAGGCCTTAATCTTAACCCATATCCTCCTAATCCACTGGCCCCCCCTAAGCCGGCTATCCTCCCTAAACTATACTAAGATTTCGCTAACGTATTCAATATCGATAATACCGGACGGCTCCCCGCCTACTAATAATAGGACCACGTAATTCAAATTAAGGAAGGGAAAAAGCCCCCTTTTAGCCCTATCTACCCCCTAGCCGTATAAGAGCTTAAGGTCCTCCGTTAGTATATCTAAGACGCCGTCCGTAAGGGTTAGATCCGATTATCGTTTAGTTCTTACGGGGCCCTTATCCTATTCGTCCCTAAGAAGGGTAGTAAGCTATGCCTTTACGTGGACTATAGGGGATTAAATAAGGTGCCTATTAAAGATCGTACCCTGCTACTACTAATTTATAAGATCCTGGACCGTTTATCCTTAGCGTAGTATTATACTAAGCTAGACCTTAAGGACGCTTATTACCGGCTCCGGATTAGCACGGGTAATAAATAGAAAACGGCCTTCCGCACGAAATACGGCTACTTCGAATACCTTATAATACCCTTTAGCCTAACTAATACCCCCGCGAGTTTCTAATAATATATTAACTAAGCCCTTACCGGATACGTCGATATAATCTATATTATATACCTAGACGATATCCTTATCTATAGTAATAGCCTAGAAGACTACCGAAAGTATGTATATTAGGTCCTGGCTAGGCTCCGGAAATAGTCCCTCTACGCTAACCCCGATAAATACGAATTTAAGACTTATAACGTGGAATTCCTTAGTTTTATCTATAGCCTTAACGGGGTACGTATAGACCCTAGTCGTGTTAAGGCTATCCGGGATTAGGAAGCGCTTAATAGTATTAAGAAAATCTAAATCTTCCTCGGGTTTACTAGGTTCTATAAACGCTTTATTAAAAACTATTTTAACGTAGCTACCCCCCTTACCGACCTCTTAAAAGGTGCCTAGTCCGGGCTTCTACGCCTTTCCTTATATACCGGTACCGTATTTAAATAGTTAAAACTAGTATTCTAGGACGCCCCGGTACTATAATATTTTAACTCTGCACTACCTATACGTGTTAAACCCGATACCTCTATATTTACTATTAGCGCGGTAATAAGCTAGTAAGAAGATAGTTTATAGAGACCCGTCGTGTTTATATCTTAAACGTTATGTGGCGTAGAGCTAAATTATAGTACGCCTGATTCTAAGCTAATAGTAATAATCGAATCGTTTCGGATATAGCGGTACTATATCGCTTATAGTTAGAGTCCCGTCGTAGTCCTAATAGACTACCTAAACTATCGTTACCTGCTTAATAAGCTAAAACTAAAAGGGTAGTACGCCCGATAGCTAGAAAAACTAGCCCCTTTTAATTTCGAGATTAGGTATAGGCCCGGTACGTTAAACCCCGCTAATAGCCTCTTACAGAAGCCGTAGTATACCCCCTACGAACGGTCCTTAATCGCTAATCGGACCTATACCGTAGAGTTATTCTTTAAGAAGTTTATCCTCGCCGTGATTAGCACGGGAACCGTACAGGACCCCGATATACCTATAGTATCGATAAACCTAGATATACCTATAACTAGGGCATCGACGGACCTAGTTATGCCTATAGCGCTAATGGACCTTACCCTAGTAGAAGAGGTTATTAAGGCGTAAGCGGAAGATCTCTTTTATAACCGGTAGTAAGAGGCCCACGGCGACGTGGCTATAAAGGGATACTAGTTAAGAGACGTTAAGGGCGTCCTCCATTTTAAGGGATAAGCATTCGTGCTAAACTATTCGGGGCTACGAGATAAAATACTATTAACATTCTATAATAAACCTAGTGCTAGTTATTATAGGGTCGCGCGTACCGTGAAGCGCGTATCGGACTTCTACTTTTAGGACTATCTCCCTTAAGATATTAGAAACTTTATGCCTACCTGCGTGGTATACTAATAAATAAAACTATAGTATTATAAGCCGTATAGCGAGCTACCGAGTCTTCCTATCCTAGATTATCTTTTCGCGGAGATTTCGATTAACTTTATCACGGGACTACCGCCTATCTATAATAGGGGCAGGAAATATAACGCGATTCTTATTATCGTTTATCGTCTAATAAAGTATTCGTTATATATCCTTATAAGTAGTAGCCTGGCTGCTAAGGGACTTATGGATACGTTATAGTATTATATTTTCCGAACCTTTAGGGTCCCTAATAGGATTATATCGGACTAAGGGTCCTTATTTACGAGCCGTTTTTAGGCTACTCTTTACTGCTATTTCGGTACTAAATAACGCTTATCCACGGCGTGGCACCTATAGACTAATAGCTAGATAGAAAGATAGAACCAGAATATAGAATACTACCTTAGAGTCTTTTACTCCTAGGAATAGGATAACTAGATAGACCGCTTA